CATTCACTATAGAACCGGGTCATTGTTGCCGCCAGGGAGTGAAGAGGAAAAAATTTATTTCGCTTTGCGAATAACCGTGCTATGAAATGCCGCACAACTGGAGAATTTCAAGAACGGATATAATAGGTTATTTAAAGCGACAAATTACCACCAAACCTTAATCTTAGCAGACAAATGTGCCAATGAAAATCGTAAACGTGAATTGTTGGTGAAAATGTTGGACCAAAAAGTTTCAATAAAATATATAAAAATTTTGGGCGGGACGAAGTTCGCCGGGTCTGCTAGTATTTATAGTATGGTGGTCTGTACATACAACGTCGCAAGTTGGTAAAAGCGTTGTAAAATATCATTTGGTTTCGCAACACATTCCTTCTGTCAGGACTGCAGATCACACCCAAGGCAAATTTATAAAAGGTGGTGTTGACATAAAAAAAAAAAAAATTACAACAACAAATTATACGCACATTGACAACCAGTACAAAGCAAAATTACAACAAACACATTATTTTGACAAAAGGTAAAAATTCGCCGTGAAATCAGCGGATCTGATAACACCACCTTGTATAGATTCACGTTGATCGCACCGTTTCCTCCGTAAAAGCAAGATATTGCCGCCGATAAGTAAAGCTGAGTAGTGTAGTTCCTATGTTATTATGTTACTTATGTATGTTAAATTAGCATTTCTGCTGTGCTCAAAAATAATGACATCTCTTTTCTGTTTTGTACTGTTAAGCATATGTATGTAAAAGATAATGTATAATGGATATATTTAAATACACACACATCATGTACACTTTGATTTACATAGGAATACAGCCTAACGGTCCTCATCAAATTCAATATCACGCCACGTCGTAGAAAAAGTGAAGAAATTTGAAGTTGTACAGCACAGCAGAAAAGACGCAGAAATACACAAAATTTTAAAAGTATAGCGCATTATTCGCATACTACAAAAAATTGTGTTTTATTAAAAACTGCTTTCGCACGCAACAATTCTTTTAAAATTTTGTACTCGAAATACTTTTGCAACGTGAAGTCAAATATTTTACTATGACGAATAACTGCAAAAAATGTAATGCCGTGGACGACGATAATATGGTCCAATGTGGCACATGTGATGGATGGTACCATTTTACCTGTGTCGGAGTCGATAGCTGCATAGCTGAAGTAAGTTGGAGCTGTGACGCTTGTGAACACAGTGCATCGGCAAGACTTACAAGACCCATCTCTTCATCATCGCCTACGCTCAATATTGGAGGAACAACAGTGGATCGTCCTGTACATTTTTCAGTGACCGAACCCGCTGCATCAGTGATCGCAACTGCTAATTTATATGGTGACCAGATATTTTCCGAAGCGCATGCAATGACACCTGGGCAGACTACTCAATGTTTACGAGGACCAATTCCGGTTGTACAGAGTAATGCAACGGTTTCGCAAACTTTTCCCGGTACAGCAGCGTTCACCAATCCAATGAATTTCGTATCACTACCAATCTCCGAGAATCCGAAGACGTCAAGCGTAATAAATACGTATTACAATGTAAATGCGTTGGGAGGCGTTGAGTCAATGCTAAATGCACCTGGCCAAAATCATAGTTCATCAGTAAGTCAACGAAATCTGCAGCTTGAGCGACTAGAGGAAGAGTTCAAGATCCAGCAACAGTACCTGGAAAATAAATATAAAATTTTATCGCAATCTTCGGAATCTATCTCGTCGAACACCTTTAGTTTACTCAACAATGGGCCAACAGCTACGCAACTAGCGGCAAGGCAATCTATACCAAAACAGCTGCCTATATTCAGCGTGATCCGAAGGACTGGCCGCTATTTATCAGCACATTTGATAATAGCACTGCAGTAGCTGGATACTCAGATGCGGAGAACCTCATTCGTTTGCAAGCTTGTCTCAAAGGTAAGGCTCGTGACATAGTGAAAAATAAATTATTTTTGCCATCTATTGTTGCCGACCTGAGCAGATTCTTGAACGTGCAATGAATGAGGCTCGTGCAATGCCTCCTATTAAAGATAAATTAGAATCACTGATAGATTTCGCCTTATGCGTGAAGAATATTTGTACAACTATGGAAGGATGTCAGATGTATGCACATTTACACCACCCACTTCTCGTCGACAAACTTGCGAATAATCAAAAACTCAATTGGGGTTGTTTCCTAAAGACAATGCAATCCCTGCTGTTAAATTATTCAGCGACTGGCTTTACAAACTTGCTGAAGCAGCTAGCATGGTCGTATCTTTTACGCCAACCAGAGGTAGTTCAGCAATGAACACTCACACCGTTGCGTCGCAGGACGAGGTACACCAGGTTGATAGAACCCTTTTCAAGAACAAATCGTGTTGCTGTTGCAAAGGTTCAGATCATAATGCATCGCAATGTAGCGTTTTTAAAAATCTCCCATTAAATCGCCGGTGGGACATTATAAAATCAAACAGTCTTTGTCGACAGTGCCTGGGTACACATATGCGCAGATGTTTTGTGGAAAAGGTGTGTGGCATAGACGGCTGTACTATAAAGCACCACAAGTTACTTCATAAGACAAACGTCTCGTCAATCTCGAACAAACAAGCTACGAAGTCTGATATGCTCCCGCAACCGGACGCCCAAGTAAACACCCATTGCCACAGCGTTGTCGGGAGTCGACCATATTTTAGGATCGTCCCAATTTTTATACATGCAAACGGGAAAATGGTAAAAGTTTTCGCCTTTTTATATGAAGGATCAGCAGTAACATTAATTGAAAAGAATTTATTTGATGAACTTGGCCGTAAAGGTACACATGATCCTATTTATCTACGGTGGACTGGCAACACGACACGCTCCGAAAATGAATCAATGCGAGCAACAATCAAGATCTCCAATGCTACTAATAGGCGTACATATAAATTGAGTGGTGTGCATACTGTCAACGCCCTCGACTTACCTGAGAAGTCGATCGATGCCGAAGCCATAGCTAAAAAATATCCGTACTTGAACGGTTTGCCGATCGAATCTTATAATAAAGTGAAACCATCGTTACTCATTGGCGCTGACAACTGGAAATTAGCTGTTCCTTTAAAAATAAAAGAGGGAGCTTGGATGCAGCCAATCGCTTCAAAAACGCGTCTAGGGTGGACAGTTCAAGGCGGCCAGAACGATCACATTTTCGACTTCCGACTCAACGGTCACTATTGTGACTGCCAGAAGGGCTACCTAGAATTACATGAGAGAGTAAAGGAGTTCTTCAGATTGGAGTCACCCAACGCATCAAATTTGTTATCTGCAGAAGATCAAACGGCCGTAGACCTAATGAATGCCACATGTCGCGAGGTTGATGGGTTTTAAGAGATTGGGTTGCCATGGCGAGATCTAAATGTATCTTTACCAGACAGTTACTCGAACGCGCTTAATCGAGCCATATGTCTCAAGAGGCAGCAAATTAACAACTAGTATGAAAAGGTTATGCTGAAAAACTAAGCACACCTGAACTTCACAAGGAAAAGGAAAAAGTATGGTATCCTCCCATATTCGTAGTAACGAATCTAAATAAACCGGGAAAGGTACGTTTAGTTTGGGACGCTGCAGCGAAGGACAATGGGGTATCGCTAAACGACTTCCTGCTTATTGGTCCGGATATGCTCAATTTACTGTTCGAGATATTGTTGACGTTTAGAGTAGGTAAAGTAGCCATATGCGGTGACATCTCTGAGATGTTTCACCGTATCAAAGTCAGAGAAAGCGACCGACATGCTCAGCGATTTTTATGATGGGACAACGATGAAAAATCAGAACAACCGAACAAAAACATCACTATGTGGATGATTTTATAGATAGTGAAAACAACGAGCAAGCAGCTTTAGAATTAGCTCTGCAAGTTAAGAAAATTCATGCATCTGCCGGTTTTAACATACATAGCTGGACCTCCAACTCCAAGTTCATCCTCGAACAACTATGTGGAAATGCGGCAGAAATTCAAGGCCCAAAAGACTGGGAATCTGCCGCCAAAATATTAGGTATGTTTTGGGATTCAGCTAACGATTCGTTTAGATTTATTTGCAGATTTATGCGATTGCGCCGAGATGTCGTAAACAACCCGATTGTACCGACAAAAAGAGAGATACTTCAAGTAGTCATGTCAATTTTTGACCCGCTCGGACTTATAAGTTGCTTCACTATAGGGTTTAAAATCCTTCTCCAAGATATTTGGCGATCTGATATTGGATGGGATGAACCCCTAAGCAAAGATTTATATGCAAAATGGTGCCACGGGAAGCCAAATATTGAAGTTATACTGACAGCGAAAATTCCTCGCTGCTGTTCAGAGTTTCTACAACATGCGAAGGAGGTTCAACTTCACATGTTTGTGGATGCTGGCGAAAACGCATATTCAGCTGTGTACTAATTGCGTGTTGAGCATACCAATGGCATCTCCGTTGCACTCGTTGCCGCGAAATCAAAGGTCTCGCCTCTAAAGCCATTGTCTATACCTAGACTAGAGCTTCAGGCCGCGCTCATAGGAGTAAGTCTAGCAGGTGCAGTACTTAATGTTCAACGTATACCCATAACGTAACACTATTTTTAGACGGACTCGAAGACGGTTCTAAGGTGGTTGCGAATGGACCCGAAGAACTTCAAACGGTATGTTATGCACCGAGTCGGAGAAATTTTAGAGTGCACAAACGTATCCCAATGGGATTGGGTACCTTCGAAAGAGAACCCGGCCGACCTAGCCACGAAAAGTTCAGTTCATCCTTACTACACGATGTGGTTTTCTGGTCCACAGTTTTTACTATCTCAATTAAATGAGTGGCCTCATTGCGAAGAGTTCAAAAGCGACGAAATCGACCAAGTCGAACTAAAGCGTTACGTGCTGCAAATAGACAGGGTAATTCAAATTATCGCTGGACACGGAATATTTCTCGGATTGGAAATGCTTATATAGAGCAGTTGCGACGTTTTTGCTGTATATGAATAAACTGCTTGCAGCGACTAAAATGCAAAAGTTTAATAACGCCATCGATTTTCAAATGATTAAACGGGCTCAAATAATCATAATCAAATATGCCCAGTACAGCGTATGTCGCGAAGAAGTAAACCTCTTGAGCCTCGGTAAAGCGCCGCGCAAGCATAGCCAGCTTGGCTCATTGAATGTATACTTAGACAAGAGCGGAGTAATTAAGAGCAAAAGTCGCGCAGAGCACCTTAACAGTCGCGCGGACATTATTGTGCTACCAAATTCACACCATGTTACATTTTTAATCGTACGCTCGATACATGAAAAATTTCATCACCACATGCACGAAGCTATCATCAATACAGTAAGCGCACAGTATTACATACCTCGACTTCGAGTCTTGTATAGAAAGGTCCGCAAATCTTGTCAGCAGTGTAAAAATTACACCGCTAAACGAAATGTGCCACAAATGGCAGTATTGCCAGGTGCGAGGCTTGCAGCCTTTGAAAGGCCTTTTACTTTCGTCGGAATCAATTTCTTTGGTCCACTCTTGGTGAACGTTGGGAGAAGGCGGGAAAGACAGTGGGGTGTTTTATTCACCTGTCTAACACTGCGCGCTATTCATATAGAAATTGTGCACAGCCTAGATACAAGTTCTTGCGTTATGTCGATCAGAAATTTTATAGCTCGTCGTGGCTACCCACGACATATCTTCACCGATAACGGCACAAATTTCAAAGCTGCGAAAAAGATCACATGCGCGGAGATGAAAGAGATCGATTTTTCACTACTTATGTCAACATTCGACCAGATCAGCTGGAAGTTCATTCCGCCAGCAGCGCCTCATATGGGAGGGGCTTGGGAACGGCTCGTGCGGTCTGTCAAATCCGTTTTGTACAATATTATGCCGTATGCAAACTTCAACGACGAAAGCCTCAAAAGTAGCTTATGCGAAGTAGAATACATCATAAATGCGCGCCCCTTAACTTTCGTTTCACTCGAGTCAGACGACGACGATGCTCTTACGCCAAATCACCTTCTGCTGGGTTCGCCGGACGGCTTCAAGCCCACGTGTACCGATGACTTAGCCCTAAGGAAACGTTGGTACCAGAACCAGAAGTTCGCTGACAGATTCTGGCACAGATGGGTTAAAGAGTACGTACCCATCATCTCTAGACGTAGCAAATGGTTTGATAAAGTACCGCCGATACGTGTTGGAGATATTGTCGTCATTGTCGACGAAAATTTACCAAGGAATTGTTGGCCGAGAGGTAAGGTGATCCGCATTGTGATAGCCAAAGGCGGACAGGTCCGCAGCGCGGAAGTTAAAACTACTTCAGAAATACTACACCGCCCAGCTACCAAGATCGCACGTCGGCTCTTCTGGGAGTAAACTCGTCAAGCCGGACTCATTTACGGGCCAGGGGATATTGCCGCCGATAAGTAAAGCTGAGTAGTGTAGTTCCTATATTATTATGTTACTTATGTATGTTAAATTAGCATTTCTGCTGTGCTCAAAAATAATGACATCTCTTTTCTGTTTTGTACTGTTAAGCATATGTATGTAAAAGATAATGGCCCGTAGTCATAGTCAAAATAAAGTCGACTTTAAAGTTAGTTGCAGCTTTTTGACATAATTTTCAATGGGACATCTGTCAAAAAAGCTGCAACTAACTTTAAAGTCGACTTTATTTTGACTATGACTACGGGCCATTGTATAATGCATATATTTAAATACACACACATCATGTACACTTTGATTTACACAGGAATACAGCCTAACGGTCCTCATCAAATTCAATATCACGCCATGTCGTAGAAAAAGTGAAGAAATTTGAAGTTGTACAGCACAGCAGAAAAGACGCAGAAATACACAAAATTTTAAAAGTATAGCGCATTATTCGCATACTACAAAAATTGCTATCGCACGCAACAACCCCTATTCTGCAACTCTTTCGTATTCGGATTTTGCTACGAATCGTAGAAATAGTATGCTGCAATCCGAATCGTATTTTCGAACTTTCGAAATTCGTAACAATGGCATGCCTAAAAACGAACGAGTAAGCTTTTTTGCGTAATTTTGTACGAAAACAATTCTGTGCCGGAGACGAGATAAAAGACGTGAATCGATGTGTGTTTGCAGGAAATATTAGTGGTGTTCATTTAAACAGATAAATTTGCCCTTCGCATATACGTATATTTTTATCCACTGCTTTATATAAACGAGTAAAACAGAATCTTTGTTGCCCCTTATCAAGAAACTTGGGTCCGTTTTAGTTAATTGTACAATGATTTTCGGTTGTTGTGTCCAAACGTATAACCCGAATCCAAAAACTTAAAATAAATGTTTCAAATTTCCGAGCACTATCTTATAATAAATTCGGTTAGCACTATGCACTTTTTTGCAAACTTCGACTTGGGTTCTGCGCAAAAATACTGTAGATGGCGTAGCCGGAGTGATGTGCACAAGAAGTGTTGAATATCTTTGAGATGCGGAAGCCCCTANAATGATTTTCGGTTGTTGTGTCCAAACGTATAACCCGAATCCAAAAACTTAAAATAAATGTTTCAAATTTCCGAGCACTATCTTATAATAAATTCGGTTAGCACTATGCACTTTTTTGCAAACTTCGACTTGGGTTCTGCGCAAAAATACTGTAGATGGCGTAGCCGGAGTGATGTGCACAAGAAGTGTTGAATATCTTTGAGATGCGGAAGCCCCTATTCTCCGGCAACACATAAAGGAGAATTCTACTTAGTAAGGGTTATAATCCCTAAGAGCGGCCGAAGGCAGAAGCAAGTGCAACAGGTGGTAGACTTAACAAAGTGCATGTCTTCAATGGCTTGGAAGAAGCTGTTATTGCATTAACTGGATTGAGAACCAGGTCTTCAGGCATAGGAGCAGTTCTGGCTTGTGGTTCAACAATTTAGCCAGAAGCTGACATAGACGCGCCCATGGTTACTATGCCCGACTGCACCGCATATCTTTGTGAAATCATTCCCATAGCGCGCTCTTACTCCACTGCTATAATTGCAAATGCAATAGAATCCACCGTTTCATCCAAAATATGTGAAAACAAATAATTTTCTGTAAATAAGCACTTCATGAGTGTTTTTTAATTCCTTTCCACTTTATTTTCCTTCGTTCAGCTATCTTCAAAAAACAACTCATAGCTGGCAATACTGCACATGTTTCCACAAGGGTTGTAGTTCTGAATTTCCTTCAGTTTATGTATCCTCTTTGTAGTGTGGGGAAAGAAAAGGGCACCGAAATTGCGCATATGGAAACTGTGCATCTAGACATTCAGGGCTATCACGGAATCCATCGTAGGAAATCTACGAATTCAAATGCCCGCTACGAATACGAAAAAATTGCTATCACTGAATCCGAGTGAACTCGAAAATATCGTTGCCAGCTTCGAATGCTGATTCGAAATCAGTTAGTGCAAAGGAAACAACAGACATTTATGTATGTCATTTTGCTCACGCTGCCCCATCAGGCGCAATGGCCGAGTGTGCAAAGCACTAAACTGCCAATTGAGAGAGCCGACTTCGAGNAAAGCAGTAAATATTAAAGCTAATTTATTCTAAATTGATGCTTGCAGCAATTCTTTACCGAGAAATACGTTTATGATAAAATTTTGGAAAATGGGCGTGGCACCGCCCACTTATGATCACATATATGTATCTCGGTAACCGTGCAACCAATTTGTACCAAACTCGGTATGATTATTATGCTTGCCAAATATAAGCAAAACGTTGAAAATTATTGAAATCGGACTAAAATTACCGCTTTTCATATAACGGTAAATTTTAAAAATGCTTGAAACTTCAATATTTCGAAATTTAAGGACGCTGGTTTACTCATAATTGATGAACCCCGGATTACGATGTAGCGGTAGCTTTCGGGAAGGTGGAAAACATATATTTAATATTTGCGCCGGGTATTTAATGTTCGGCTCCGCCCGAACTTAAACTTTCTTACTTGTTTTATTTAATTTTTGTTTATTTTTTTAATAAATATTTTTTTAGTTTGTTTTTAGCTTAGATTTTATTATTTGAAATAGAAAAATATTTTTTTTTTTAATAAATTTTTATGATATTAAAGTAATTAGGTTTATTTCCTAATAAATTGTTGCTAAACTATTATTTCCTCGATTCATACAAAATATTAATTCATTAAATAGCGTCTAGCAGATGAATGCGTGTATTTTGTATTTTGCTCTGACAGCATAATCTCGTCGTAGAGTATATGTACGAATCTTCATTACGAACGGATTCAATGAAGGCTCTCCACGAATTTCGAATTTACGTTCGTAGCCATTCGGATTCTGTGATAGCACTTTCGTAGATTTCACGAAAATCGAAGCTACGATGGATTCTGTGATAGCACTGATTATTTCGGTTTCAACCGCAACTGTGCATGACTTCGTTTTTCACATAGGCATTATTTCGGTTTTCAACAAAAATTGTGCATGCGTGCAATATTTCGGTTTTTTATAGCATTTTCTGTTTAAATGAAACCATTTTCAAATTAAGTGAAACGTTTTTCAAATTAAATAAAACGTTTCATTTTAACTGAAAAGGCTATAAATGCATAATTTCTGTTTTCAAATGAAAGTGTGCATATGGATAATTCAGTCTTTTTCTAATAAGAATTACTTCTATTTAATAAGGGTTATAATCCCTAGCATCAAAGGCCGCCTACGCAAAATGAAGTTCTGCGCAATATACTTTAGCCCCCATTTCCGGCAACACAGAAAGTAGAATTATACTTAGTAAGAGTTATAACCCCAACGCGCGGCCGAAGGCCGCCTACGCAGAAGAAAGTTTTGCGCAAACATACTTCCGCCCCTCTTTTCCGGCGACACAGAAAGTAGAATTGAACTTCGTAAAGGTTATATCCCCTAAGCGCGGCCGAAGGCGTCTAGGCAAAAAGAAGTTCTGCGCCAAAATACTTCCACTCTTTCTACAGAAAGAAGAATTCTACTTAGTAAGGATTATAATCCCTAAGCGCGGCCGAAGCCCACCTACGCAGGAAGAAGTTCTGCGCCAAAATAATTCCGCCCCCTTTTCCGACAACACAGAAAGGAGAATTCTACTTACTAAGGGTTATAACCCCTAAGCGCGGCCGAAAGCCGCCCACGCAAAAAGAATTTCTGCGCAAAAAATAATTCCCCCCCCCCCTCCCACTTTTCCGGCAACACAGAAAGGAGAATTCTACTTAGTAAGGGTTATAACCCCTAAGCGCGGCCGAAGGCCGCCTACACAAAAATAAGTTCTGCGCTTTCCGGCAACACAGAAAAGAGAATTATACTTAGTAAGGGTTATAACCTCTACGCGCGGCCGAACGCCGCCTCCGCAGAAAGAAATTTTGCGCAAACATACTTCCGCCCCTCTTTTCCGGCGACACAGAAAGGAGAATTCTACTTCGTAAATGTTATATCCCCTAAGCGCGGCCGAAGGCGTCTACGCAAAAAGAAGTTCTGCGCCAAAATACTTTCGCTCTTCTTTTCCAGCAATACAGGAAGGAGAATTCTACTCAGTAAGGATTATAATCCCTAAGCGCGGCCGAAGCCCACCTACGCAGGAAGAAGTTCTGCGCAAAAATATTTCCGCCCCCTTTTCTGACAACACAGAAAGGAGAATTCTACTTAGTAAGGATTATAATCCCTAAGCGCGGCCGAAGCCCACCTACGCAGGAAGAAGTTCTGCGCAAAAATATTTCCGCCCCCTTTTCTGACAACACAGAAAGGAGAATTCTACTTAGTAAGGATTATAATCCCTAAGCGCGGCCGAAGCCCACCTACGCAGGAAGAAGTTCTGCGCAAAAATATTTCCGCCCCCTTTTCTGACAACACAGAAAGGAGAATTCTACTTAGTAAGGATTATAATCCCTAAGCGCGGCCGAAGCCCACCTACGCAGGAAGAAGTTCTGCGCAAAAATATTTCCGCCCCCTTTTCTGACAACACAGAAAGGAGAATTCTACTTAGTAAGGATTATAATCCCTAAGCGCGGCCGAAGCCCACCTACGCAGGAAGAAGTTCTGCGCAAAAATATTTCCGCCCCCTTTTCTGACAACACAGAAAGGAGAATTCTACTTAGTAAGGATTATAATCCCTAAGCGCGGCCAAAGCCCACCTACGCAGGAAGAATTTCTGCTCAAAAATACTTCCGCTCTTCTTTTCCGGCAATAGATAGAGGAGAATTCTACTTAGTAAAGATTATAACCCCTTAGCGCGGCCGGNATGGACCGGTAAGTTGGCCACCAAGATCATGCGATTTGACGCCTTTAGACTATTTTTTGTGGGGCTACGTCAAGTCTAAAGTCTACAGAAATAAGCCAGCAACTATTCCAGCTTTGGAAGACAACATTTCCGAAGAAATTCGGG